TAGAAGTTGACCCTGCCGACGAGGAAGAAGACGATGGTACTCCCCCATATAGAACATCCGAAAAGGGCCTTCCGTACGCAATTACGCACGTGTAGGGTTTCCAGGGTTTCCGGGAGGCGGTTTGTGGTCCTACGATTCGCTGTTGGGGTCACCCTCAAACACAAATCCTGAAGTAAGGAAACTACTTCACTACCTGCAATCCTGGCATTCACATCGTCATATAGGAATTTTCTGCTGCTGAGGTAATCAGTCCACTGAGTAGTGGAACGCAGATACCTTTAACAAGTAGCCAAATTTAGGCAAATGCATTTCTACCCCAAGAATTCCCCACGACAGTGCAAGTGAGTCGAGTCGGCAGATGTCTCTCGGTACCTAGCGTAATATTTCAAGGCAATTTCCCCCCTTGGAAACAGGAGTCATCACCTAACGCGCTCCGCTTTCTCCAGCAGTTGTAACCTATATAGTGCGGGAATTGCCTGGAGTGTGCCGCCTATCAATGTTTGGCAAAGCTTAGCTAAGTGAGGTTGTACGTGCCTTCAACTAGGCTAAACAAGCAAACGCCAACACCCCAATCGATGGCACTTTGTCTTCACTAGTTAGCAGAAACACTACCAAGACTGCGAAAAAAGTGCATGACCTCAGTGCTTCCCTAGGCTGAAGACGAACAAAAGTTCAATGTTTTCACGGTCATACAAAATTTCTTGCGAGAGTCTGTAGGTTTCCGGCTCGTGCGAATCTGCATCATATATATTCTTTCTAAAGTCCACCGAAAACCATTTTTCGCACACTTAAAAGGTTATTCCGTCCCGGAGCAGAGCTATCAAAGCTGGTGCACTGCATTCAACTAGGTAGTCTTATTTTATTCGCAAAAAAGTGCACGATGCATTCGGGGTTTGCGGAACTAAGAAATGAGATGAAGCTGTAGGGCATTTGCCACCGTTATGCCCTCAATATCGCGGAAATCCAAACTATGTCTTGGGCGTCTAGAAGTATCGCTTGAATGCTCTGTCCAGATAATCCATGCAAATCAGTGTGATCATCGCATGCGGTGCGATTCTCACGTAGTACGTAGGGTAACCTGTATAGAATGCGGTGATACCCTCTGTCCGAGTGATCTTCACTGCGGCGTCCAGTACACCTTTGTATGGCAACTCTCCCGTTACCGGATCAGGGCGCATTTTTTGCAGGCTGTACAGAACAAAACATCAGGCTTGTGGAAGCAACTAATTCAGAAGCATGGATGGAAAACATTGTAGAACGAGTTGTGATATTTAAAAGGAAAAGTTGAAATGGATCGGCTACAACCGTGAGAATTGATTCAGCTCACCGTGTCTTTAAGAAGTCGAATGGAAGCGAAAATGTCACTGCAAAGAAACCCGATATAGCGCTTGCTGTTAGTGTCGTCGCCCATCCATTACCCAATGTGGGAGCAAGCATCTCCTTGCACTGATCGTTCGTTGCTAACATTCCTGCAACAATTGCAACTCACACAAGGCCTAGAGTAGTATATTTCTATTCATGCAAATGAGTGTCTATCTCGGTCAGAAAGAAGGCTGAAACAGCCGTGCGTACCCATATTCAGCGACATAGCTCGCAGAACAGTGGGAAAGCTGCCTCTCCAAA